GGTCCCCAAGCAAAACCCTTAGCTGCGGTATTATCGCCTTCTGCAGCATATCATGGCATGGGTTAAATATGTTTGACAGGTTTGATTGGAACATACAAAATAGCAATGACAAAGATTATTATATATTTTTTTTTTATAAATTGCCATACAGCATCGGTATCCAAACAAGAATTTTGCCAACCAATTCTTTCTTTATAAACATTATTTAAAGAAAATTGTGTCTGTTAAGTGGCTGACTCTATGCTGGCCAGAGCAGATAACTGGACTAAATAAGGCAATGTTGTTATGATATACTTTTGACACTCGATAAAGATCAGAACAGCAAAAAGTTAGAATCTGAGCAAAAAGCATTTCAGAATTACAACTAAATTAAGCTCATCCCTGCTAAACCTTTGGTAATATTTTTTTTAATAGAAATCTTTGTTAATGTTATAATTGTCAAAATATTATTTTAACAACCAAAGTTGTTCTTTTTTAATAAAGACAGATTTTTTTTGCGTTTTTGTCTCAAAAGTCTCTGGTTACAAGCTCCTTGGAGAGAAGCTAATAATATAGATACATTTAGAAAGATTTGTGCTTACGACAGGTTTATATTGATTTGGAAACAACTCGTTGATCCATTATGTTAGAAACTGTACATAGGGACCAAGAAGGTTTTTTTCTGATTCTCATTCTTTACCACGATGTTGACATCCGTTGAATCAATGCTGCATCTGTTTTTTAAAAGAACTAGTAGTAAAGAAGCATTTCCTTCTTCAGCTTTATCAGCTTTACCTCCTGGTTCAACAAACTCTACAGTTCATATTGTATTCTGAGTGCCTATTTTCGAGCTCCCTATTTAAAGATGTATACAAACATTTTGATCTAACAGAGGTTTTCTGTAAACAGAGCTTTGTCTTTCGGTAATGACTTTCTGAGTTGAGGTGTTAAATCACTGGACTCCAACTTGTCCCTGCTGCCCCCTCTCAGAAGTTAAAAGTTGATGACAGGGGGTTGTAAGCTGATATTTCTTTTTTTTTTCCAAGCCTGTGTGCTATTTGTAGTGTGATACCATCTGTCTCTCTCCTTCTCTGTGGACCTAATTAGGCCAAGCTCCCAGAGCTGCAGCCTTTCCCCTCCCCTGGTGGCCGGGCCGTGACCGAGAATGAGGAGCTGGTCTGGATGCCAGGGGTCAACGACTGTGACCTTCTTATGTACCTCAGAGCTGCAAGGTGAGTCCAGAGGAAAGCAGAAATCCAATCCAAAGCACACATCTATAGTATCTAAACCTTCAGGTTTTAAAATAGATAAAAATATAATTCTATCATGGCAAAGCTGAGATGTGAGCGCATTTACATGTCTGAGAGACTTAGACAATATATTAAATCTGTGATTTCTTGTAATTCAACTTTTAAAACCACTTTTTGATGCTGGAGATATCAGCAAGGCTTGATGTCAGTCTGTTCTTTCAAATGCTGCTTAAGTTTCTGATATTCTGTAGCCACGGACTGCAGTTCAGTGAATGAAAAAAAAAAACTGCTGTCATTGAGGTAAAGCCGAAAAAATGTCCCTCACTACTTCCCTTACTTATTTTCATCAGGTCTTTACAGTATTAGGAAAACAGGCATTTTTTACCATCTCAACCATAATAAAATCTATTGCAATTAATCCTCAATTTTCTCCACTAAATGTTCAGTCCCTGAAATCTATATCAAATTAGGAATTTATGTCCAAAGAGATTATTATTATTGACACAATTATCAAAGCTGAATACAAATATCTATCTGAATGTATTTTATGCTTCAATTCACATTATTATTCCTATTAGCGGTTTTTATTACTGCCATCATTTAATAAATAAATCTTCATTGCACATATTAATGTTGCATTGCTGTAAAGCTTTAAATGAAAAAAAAAACACATTAAAATTGTTTTTTGTGTGTAAAAACCTATTTGGAAACAATATTTTGGTTTTAAATTGGACTGATATGAAAGACAAAGCAGTGATTAAAAATAAGTGTTTCAATCAGTACATTGCTTTCACATTCAGTTCGTTATTCTCCCTCCTAGTTTGAAATTTCTGCTGGTTGGTAATTTCTATTAAAACAAGGTCACCATATTTATTTATTTTTGCATAATGAGTGAAATTCTCTGTTAGATGCAAGCAGTAACTTAGGCGACCCATATTGAAGGCAGAGTACAGAGGTATTCTTTATACTATGCACCTTATTTATTCATTTTTTTTAATGCTCAAACCATCCATCGTTTGTGTCTGCAGAAGCATGGCTGCCTTTGCAGGGATGTGTGATGGAGGATCGACAGAAGATGGTTGTCTAGCCGCCTCTCGAGATGACACTACATTAAACGCACTTAACACAGTAAGTTAATATACAACATCTGCACAACTCCATGGTCACACGTTTTAGGTACTGATATTTCTGTGTAGGTTTAGTTACAGTTTTGTCTGCAGTGATGGATCATAATAGGGCCTCTGAGACAGCAGACACCCCACTTCCTTCTCTTTCTGTGAACCTAACCTCAGCAGCTAACAGTACATTATGCATAATGAGAGATTTGTTCGTCACATCGACAATGAATGCAGAGGAATCGAGCTCAACAAAGAGATTAGAATCATCATAAACAGGGGATTTATATGCCGAGTCTATAAAGTAGAAAATTAGCATAGCGAGCAGGTCATCGTCTCTTGACCTTTTTCTCTATTTGCAATTCCAATGAGTAATGCTTGTTTATTCTCAGAGGGAGAGCTTCAGCGCTGCCCGTTTCACCCAATTGAATGTGACAGAATGCTGTAAGCTCTCCAGATATTACCTCCTTTCACTGCGGTTCATCTTCAGGTTGTTTTCAGGCCTTGGCAGGCATTTCCTCTGACTCTGGAGGAGTTGTACAGACAGTTTCAGTCATACCTTGTTGTGAATAAGCTTTTTTTTTTATGCATATCAAATAGCCATCTATAGCAACCATATATCCCTTTAACATTTAACACTCCTATGACTGTAGTCTAAAATGTTTTGGGGGTTTATATGTTGCTAACATAAAATGCCATTTGGCTATAAAGTATAAGAAAAAATATCTATATTTTTCTATTTTTATAAATAACCTAAACATTGTTCCATATATCTGTATTCAAACCTCCTTTATATCTATACCCATAACAGTCAGTGCGAATAATCACTTTCCGCAGCCCGTCAGTATAAATCCAGCTGTTCTGTGAGGGCTTTATAGGAGAAAGTTAATAGAGAAAAAGCAAAAACTACTTCTTAAAGTCCAAGGAGGACAGAAAATGTGTCCAGAAAAAAATTAGGTTAGGTTCTAAAACTATGAATGAGGCTCATGTTATCTCTGGAGGAGCTGCTCTCTCTAGAAATACAGCCTGTTAAATCCTGTTTGTATTTAACGACACATCTGGTAGGCGATACAGTCAAAAAAGGAGCTTTGATCAGAAAGTTGATCTTTTAGCCTACATGCAAAACATTGTGTGTGGCAGAAAAACTGAGCAGCATTCCAACACTGGGAAATTTGCCTTATGACCCAGTAAAAGTCCAGACCTAAATCCAAGTGAGAGTGTCTGCTGAAACTTTAGAATTGATGTTCAAAAATGATGGGAGATTTTAAAGCCTTTTGCTTATGCAGCAGTTATTCATTGTTTGAAACATTAGTTTGCACATGTAAGGTCACAGAACATGGAAACCTTTTTGTTTGTTCCTTTTCTTCCCTGAAGGAATATAACTGAATGCTCTGTTGTTTTTTCAGCTTCATGAGAGCAGCTATGATGCAGGCAAGGCTCTGCAGCGTCTGGTGAAGAAGCCGGTACCTAAACTGATAGAAAAGTGCTGGTCTGAGGACGAAGTGGTAAGAGAGGCTTTCTCTTTGTTTCTTTTAAGCAGTTTATGTTTATAAATGTGGGCTGACACACACACACAACAGATCTCTTTATCCAGCTCCAAAGTGTCTTCACTATTAGCTTTAGGTCAGAGCAGAGAGAGTCTTTAGAGGGAGCTGTTGAGCGTTAACAGGGAGCTTTGGCCCAGCCTCACACAGCATCCGTAAAAAACAGTCTTCGGTTTTCCAGCCTCTCCACGGCTCACGAGCAGCTGCGTCCTGTTTATCACCCACAAAATAAATCTTTTTTTTTGCATGGATGTCTGAAAAGGGAAAAGATTGGGGGCTGGTAACATTCGCCTCCATTTGTACTTAGAAGTGAATTTCACCACAGCTGCCGGAGGGCTGGAATCAGAAAATGGCTGATCAAACACCACTTCATGGGTGGGAAGGAGGGGGAATGAAAGCTCTGAATTACACCATGTCAAACCCAATGAGCGCTGTGGCTTTGGCTTTCGTGCGTTTTGACACACTGGGCTGCATGTTTGTGTGCCCAGTGCGTTTTAAAAATAACATTACTTCCTGATCTGACTGCAGATCTTAGACGGCTGAGTCTCTGTTGGAAGTCTCCCTCTCTCAGGCAGTTCATTTGTTTGTTTTTTCTTTTTGGTGTTTTTGTTGTATTCATCTGATCCTTTAGCTTTTTTTTCTCCAGCAGTGGGTCATATTTAGCGGTGATATTTCTAAATTCTTCTTAGTGTATATTTCTAAAGTAATTACACATGAATTGCACATCTAAATTAAGCAGGAGTCCTTTTGTTGGACCATAATTAACCACATTAACTTAACTCTTCTAGACTGAGGTGAGCTAGCTGAACTAACCTGTATTTGTCCCTCTTTGCTGGCAGCAGGCTTAAAAATGCTTAATAAAGATAATTAGAGGCAAAAATCTCTGTCAGAACATGTATTACAACACTTCTCTTTGAATTAAACTTCATTTACTGCCTTTTTAACAGACAAATAGGTTAGTGCTGCAGTTATTTATGTATTTTTTTAACTGTTGGCTTCTTCATCAGCATCTAATGAACAATAGAGTTTAATCAGTTTTTGTTTTCTTTAATACTTATTTATGTTTTTAACATAAAGGAACTTACAACTCGTAACTTAACTTTCGCTTTCCTTTATTCCAAATGGGAAAGAGAGGAAAGCAGAGTGAGGCAGATGGAGTTTCATGTTTGAAACTTTCCAGGAAAGGACAAAAAGAAAGTAGGCAGGAGAACCGAAAGCCGTGTCTGTCCTGTCATCACACATAGCAACAGATGAACCCAAGGTCATTTTTCCTCTAAAAAAAAAAAGAAAAAAATGTTTTAGGTTTGGCATTTTAAAAAAAAGTAAAATATTTAGACAATCTTAGTTAAAGTTTGGGAGACCTAGTGCTGTGGGCCTGTTTTTCTTCAAAGACTCCAGCCGATCAGAGTTGAGTGTTTGGGAAAGTGGATCCTTTACAATAATCAGGACACTTTGAATAAAACTTAAAAGGGATCAGTGTTGGCTCTTTCTACAGGATCATAATCCCAAACATATAACTCAGCCAACACAGCAGAGAGGAGAGCTCTCTGAATGCTCCACTCATGTGAAATATTAAGTGCTTTCCTGGAAGGTCAGAGGGTTTGGATCGTGAAAAACAGAGATTCCTGTCATTTTGGCTAAAATCTGATTTTTATTTGCTGAATAAATGCTTTCAACAGTTTGACTGAAATAAAATTACTTAAAAACATATTCATTTGAGTTTTTAGCAGTGATCTTCACTATGTTGCCAGAATAAATAATCTTAATCAGATTGTAAAACAAGGTGGACTTTGTCCAATTTAAATAAATCAGAAGAAATAAATGGACGAGGAAACTTTTTTTTCTTTTCACTCGCAGATCAAAGCTAATCGCTTTGAAACATTACACCATTTCAGTCTGGATTAATGTGAAGACATGTCTGTTAATTCCCGTTTATGCATTTAGGTTTCTACGTGTGGATGAGTTGTCTTCGTAGTTTGGTCCCTGTTCAGAGCCCAGCATGTTTGGGGCTTTTTCCAGAGGTTTTCAGTCGGCTCTTTGTGTTCCACCTGCCTGTGGAGTCAGAATATCAACGCCGGGCTGTAGAGGACATGGCCCACAGTGATCTGATCACTGCTAGGGCCTTTTCAGCCTCACTGCCTTAAAGGATAGGTGTTAAAGCCAGCCCTACTGCTATTCATTTATTTACCTCCCTGTGCTTTGCCTCTCCTCAGCTCATATGCTCATGCCCCCCCATCCCCTTCAGGACTGGCATAATTATTTCTGCCCGCTCTTTTTCAACTCACACGGTTGTTTCAGATGAGAGTAAAAGTGACAGCGGGTCGTTGAAATGACAGAATCAGCCTGTCTGCAGGGTCACTTGTCACTTTCTCCTCCCCCTATGTCATCTCTTCCCTCTCCCAGCTTACCTCTGCTAGCTTCAGTGTAGCTTATGAAACTGCTCTCAACTCTGACTTCAGTGTTTATGTATTTAATTTTCATCCATACACATAAAGCTAATTTAAAAGCCATATTCAGACGGCTCTGCAGAAAGCAGCACCCCATCACCCTGCAATTTCACGAGTACAGTGGTGACTTTAGATTATACCATAGAAAGCTTCCATGCATTCGAAAGCAGAGAAAATATAAAACTATGAATAATTTATCAGAAACATCAAGTGTGTATCCTAATCATCCTGTCGCTATTGTGGAGTCTGGAGTGGGATGTTAAAGCCAGAGCGCCGCTTTATTTACCCACTGAGAAAGAGCAGACAATGTAATCTGTTGTTGTGGTTGGATGGAAGCCGTCTCAGATGGTCAGACATGAAGCAGTCGTCTGTTTTTACTCACTCAGAAATTCAGCCTTATGCCAAAGCTCATCCTTTTCATTATACCATGGTTTCATCTGCAGATTCCAGAAAAATGAAATCATTGACACAGAAGCTGTTAATTAACAATAAAGGTAAACAAGTTAGTTATTATTTGCCGTCCCATGGTTGCAGTGATGTTACACAATAGATTTTTGTTTTTACCTCCAAACTGTTGTTCTGAGGGCTCGTTCGTGCTTGTAATGAAACCACAGTTGACTGCCAAGGCGGCTGTCGTGTGGAGCAATTTCTGCTTTTTCTATACCCTAAAAGTAAACATGTCATGGAAACTGTTTCACTCACATGTCAGTTTCAGGCTAACCTCAGCTCACATTTCTTTACACTCATAAGTTGCATAACTTAAAGGGGCAAATCCAGTTCAGCTGATGTTTCATTTTTGATTAATACAAACTATTAACCTTTCACAAACATAAATTCAGGAAACTAAGTTACTTTCTGTAGCATCCTCAACATGTTTGAGATATTTAGCCTTCTATACATGAAGCACGTTTTTCTCTACATTCAAAAATATATCCAGTTCATAGGGGGATCTACTGGGGTGGCATAGGGTGGCAACTGCCACCCTAAATGACAGCCTTGCCACCCCTGCTGCCACCCCAGTTGGCGGTAGGGGTGGCGAGGCTTATAAATTATGGATAATTTGAGAATTGCGACCGCTAATTTACAATGTCGGACTGCAGTGAATGCAGCACGAGATTACGCGGGAGCGACTGAGACTGATTAGTTTTGAAAACCGAGCGGGGCAAAGCGAGGGAGCCAGGGGTGATGGGGAGAGGAGACACGGGATGAAACAGGTAGAAACTGATTAACTACAGTATCTATCGAGAAATTAAATCATATTGAAAGCACAATGTTGCTAGCATAGCTGCAATGCTGATTTTGAGATGATAAAAATCCGGTTGCAGAACGTTATTTCTCTATCTATGATGTTAGTTAGGCCTGACATCTCAGGCTCATAAAGACATATTTGCAGTCAACTATGACAGAAAAGACACGAACAAGTTTGGTTGTACTCAAATCAAAACGCAAAAAGGCATTGGATCTAAATACAATTGTGAAGTGTTTTGCTGAGCAATGTGGAAATCACTGCATTCAGCTGTTATAGTCATGTTAACTTTATGTTATGCTCTCTGGTGAGCCTTTACAGAGCTGTTACATTTTGTTTTGGCACCTGAGAAAATCTGATATTTCCTTTAATGAAAACCAAAAGTGTTAAAAGTTAAAAATGTGATACTGGTGTGAATCCTGCTTAATATGAAGCAGTAGTGTTTTTTATTTTTTTGTATATATAGTAGTGTTGCGCCGATGCCATTTTTTGGCCCCGATACCGATACCCGATACCTGGTTGTGCAGTATCGGCCGTTACCGATACCATAATAATGTAAATAATTGCCATCATGGCTTTGTCAAGCTGCTGCCTACCTTTGTGAAGCAGGAAAAAATCTAATACAAAGTGAATCTAGTAGAACTTTTTAATAAAAAAGTTCTACTAGATTTTTTAATAAAAAGTTCTACTGGATAATAAAAATAAAAAGTTTTTATTGCCTACCAGGAGTGGGTGACAATAGTTGAATAAACTTATGGCTCTCAAAATGGTATCTGTGCCCTATTTGTTGGTACTGTGCGACAGTGGCGTTGGATGGAGGAGTTTGCCCTGTAATCGAAGGGTTGACGGTTCAAGCCCCGACTCCGACTTTCATTGTCGTTGTGTCCCTGGGCAAGACACTTCACCTGCATTGTCTACTGATGGTGGTCAGAGGGCCCGGTGGCGCCAGTGTACGGCAGCCTCGCTTCTGTCAGTGAGCCCCAGGGCAGCTGTGGCTACAATGTAGCTTGCCACCATCAGTGTGTGAGTGTGTGTGTGAATGGGTGAATGAATGTAGTGTAAAGCGCTTTGGTCAAGTCTCCTAACTTGAATAAAGGCGCTATATAAGTACATGCCATTTACCATTTACTCGCCGATACCGATACCACCGTTTTAGGGCAGTATCGGGGCCCCGTCCGATGCTGGTATTGGTATCGGTGCAACACTAATATATAGTATGAAACTATCCAGAAATGATCTGTATGAACCTACTCACAAAATGTTTTGTACTTTTACAGATTGGAAGCAACATTTATTTTTATGTTGCTTCTTTTCAGATTTGTGGAGTTTTGGAGGTAACATACAGTACCTGCCTTTTTGTTGATTTGTTGATACAGCAGCTCTATCTACAGCATATTTACATGCATGAAATGTCCTTTCATGTTGCCTTAACTGCTGTATGTCAAGTTACTGAGGAACAAATGGGGTGAATGTGTGTTCAGAGTAAACAATACATAGATGTCTTGTACCTTGTTCGGATGCCTTGACCCTTTTATTTCTACTGTGTAGTGATGCTCACTTTAGTACAGCTCAGTCCATAGATCTCTGATGGGAAACTTTTTCTTTCTATAGTTTCTTCTTGTGCAAATGCTGCAAAGCTGCCTCTCTGACAGTCAATCTCATACATCTGCGACTCAGCACCTGTGTCTTACCTTAATACCTTCCCTGTGATAATGCCCATCTAGAAGTAGTGTTATCATTCTTCTATCTCCTATTAGATGAGATCTCATTGTACAATGTATTTCTAATATGAACTGTTTCACATGAAACACATACTGTACATACTATTCTCACCGAACTGTGATAACTGTGATTAAATTCAGTGTAAACAAATGCCACATGTTGCCACCCCTCAAAACTTCGTGCCCCCCTCTCGCCACCCCATAAATATTTTTCTAGATCCGCCCCTGATCCAGTTAAATAGTTAGTTATCTTGACCATGAACACTTGACCTGCGGAAGTGTTTGGGATTGAACCCCTGACTTCACTGCCTAAAGTTGCTTTTCTAATTAGAAGGCTTTCATAATCTGAATAAAATACACCCTTAGAAAAATACTTGATGCTTAAGTCAAAATCATCATAACATCATTTATATAATCGATGTTTTAATTCTAGTTTAATGAGATTACAGTGCAGTGTGTCCTCTACATTTAAACCATCCGTTAGGGAGCAGAGAGCAGCTTGCAGATCCCAGGCTGCAATGTTTGGCTAAGGGTTTTCCTTTATAGACCCAGCTCCAGCCTGTCCTGGATGCAACTGCCCTGATCTATAACCACTAATATATATTTTAAAAAGCATCCATCACTTTCTTCCAGCTAACTTTTCTAATAATACCACTAAAGCTCCTGGAATGTTGTGATTAAAACAAGACCTAATGTGAATAAATGCACGGCACTAAGTATTTTTTTTAAGTTTGACCCTTTTGCATCTGAAAACCAACACTGGGCTTGTCACCCGCAGCAGCTGTCTTTTGCACTTGTTACCAGGCGGTGCTAACATTGCATCGGCCAACAGGAGGTGCCATATAAACAATCAGAAGCAGCAGCCGCAGTCTCGCTGTGTGCCGCCACGTCAGAGACACGGGCTGATCTATGACTGCTGCAGGGCGGGAGGTCTATTTCTCAGCCAGCTGCACCATGCCGTGGCTTATCTCCGGCTGTGTCTGTAGCTGATGGATGACTGCACTGAGGGGTTGGAGGGGTATCGGCAAAAATAGGGAGACGGAAGACTAGCAGGCCCTAAGTGGTAGAAAATGAGCATTCACATCAGAGATGCACCACTTCAGCAAAACACACTGACAAAAAAATAATGAACTGATCATCATCTGTTTGGAGGCCGAAAAATCAGTGTTTGCTATGACATGTAAGGTTCAGAACCAGCCAAGTATTTTTTTGCCTGTTTGGTAACTAATTAGCGGGCGGGATGGGTGTGTACTGGAATTTCCTGTTACCTTTTGTGTCAGTACATGCTAGAATAAGCAGTGGTTGTTACTCGGCTTTCCAAAGGTCATGCTATGAGTGCTGCCACATTTGTTATGTGGTAAATATGGAACGTTTACACTTGGAGAGGTGGAGGAACCTCGGGTCTGCAGAGATGTCTGTCTTATAGACTGTTAATGATTGCCAATGCCTCTTTAATCGTCTGCACAGCTTTTTACGCATCTAAACATAGATCCTGTCTATGGTGTCTACGCAAAGAGGATGTGGGTTATAAAATGTCTGTCAGTGCGGTTATTCCTATTCAAGCGTGTTGTGATTTCCTCCTGTTAAGCCGAGGCTAATCGTTTGACAAGTTCATACTTGTATAAAAGAAATTGTTTTTTTTTCCCTCTTTCTTTATTTTTGGCTGTTGAGCTCAGCGTCCTCATCAGGCTCAGTAAAGGTCAGCTTTTAACAACGAGTCAAGTATAATGACTCCATATTGAGTGAATGAAGCTTTGTTTTGTGTTGGACGGCCTTGCATTACTGTTTTTTTTGTTTTGTTTTTTTTCAGAGGAATGACATTTAGAGGGAATTATGTTCCATGTGTGAGCCTGCCCTCTGTTTGTCATCACGATACCATCTGTGTGCCTGTGTCTACATTATCTTAACCAGTTTTACAACTCCAAACAATCGGCTTTCGAACAGGATGTACGCGTGCACAATGGCCCATTGAATTATTCTGGGTTTTTTTTTTTTTTTTCTCGTCCTCCTTTCATACGTCTCCTCTCAAGCCTCACAATGGCGCTCTGTTCAGCTCTGAGGGGAAACTCGGGGAGGGTAAAAAGCGCCAGCTCTCTGGAACACGCTCTGAGAGAGAAGCCTGTTGTTTCTGCACAGCGGATGGCCATTTGGTAGCACTTCCACCCAGCTAAACCCCCCCCAAGCCTCCCACCCTCGCTTCTCCGTCTCCCAAAGCCCCTCCTCTGCCTTTGTTCCCTAGCAACCAAGGGCTGGAGCAGTCAGAGCAGGGGCAGAACGATTCAGGGAGCAGATTGGCGGATGATTTATTAGCTGGGCTGGAGAGCAGTGAGCCCAGGCAGCTGAAATGGAGCCTTAAACTGGAGCCGACATGTAGAGAGAAGGGAGGGAGGGAGCCAGCAAGAAAAAGAAAACTGAAGGGAGGCGGGAGGGGGAGCATGCATAAAGCTCAGCTATTAGGATATGATTGGCCAGGTCTCCCTTGCAAAAGAGATTTTTAATCTCAATGGGTATTACCTGGTTAAATAAAGGATAAATAAAAAAATTGCTTCGACTGAGTAAAAAGTACAGTTATGGAACATAATTAAGATGACCTGATGAGGTCAGACTGCATGAGCGGGTCTAATTGATTTTCAGTATAAAAGCTTTACTGGCTTGTGTAAAGAGCCATGGAAATGTCGTCTAATCCTCGCTAC